GGGCGCGTGGCCTTCTATGAGCCGGCTGCCGATGAATATTCCGCGCCTCTTTAAACGATCCTCCACGCTCACGCCCACGTGCACCGACGCGACGCTTCTTCGAGCTCTCGTCTGTCGCAGGTGGCGACTCCCTTAACACGGTGGTTTACCTCAACCCTCTATCTTTTCTCTCTTACCCGGCAAATATCCCGTCCTCCGTGCACAACAGAGCTAGCCGACGTAGGCTTCGGTGCTCGGCGAAGTTCTACCGCGCTATAACGAAGTTAGAGTTCGCTAACCTTCTACCATGCTTCGCGACTGTTCTCGGTGTTCCCGTTGTCACCGCGTTAGGCTGCGTTTGTACCGTACGTTCTGACACGTGACGTTTCGATTCTGAGAAAAATTCTGTTTGTAGGGTGAGGACGAACGGTTTGGTTCAGACAATGCACTGTTGCCTTTCTAGGTTGTAGGGAGGTTCGAATGTGAACCTTGACACGTTGACGCCGGTTTCTGGTTTACGTTTTTGCCTATTCGGCGAAGTTCTTAACCACTTCGGTACTATCGTCGACTGTGGCCGACAGCTATCGGATGAATGCGCACAGCCGATCGTTGATTTCAATCGATAAGGTTATGCGGACAGCGAGAGCTGTACCGAAGTGGTTAACATTTTTGGAATTATCGAAGTTGTCAATGAGTGAGTTGATTTTCAACTGCATGGCAATTGAAGTCGTGGATTCTGAAACAGCACAAGTCCAGTTTTTAACGGTATCCAATATTGGCGTAACCGTTTCTAGCTTGCTCAGAGCTATTTAGTAATATTCAAAGTGTGCACGTAATGAAGATGTATGCGTATACAATGACTGCAACAGGAATCAACGAAATAATGCATGAATAAACGAGAATGAAAGGAAAGATCGATGTTCTTGATATGTTGGTTGGTTAACTTGCACTGTTTTGGAATTCATGGCTTAAATTTTTTCTGTTTACCAAACCTATTTAACGAGCTACGTATTTAATGGTTTTTGGTGCAGCAAATCAAGCTTGATGTTTTAATGCAATATTCAAGTGTGGTGGTGCACGCCGTCAACGTGTTAAACGTAATCCGAGGATTCGGAAAGGCTGCTCGCAATGATTTACGACTGTCGACCCTTTCAAGTATGTCCCGATACTCGACAGATGCTGTTCAGCCACGTTCCGCCAACCTCGTCTGCTATCCGTTGGATGTTGGAAGCAGAAAGGCCCCCATATACGTTGAAACTTGCGGCAATGCAGGCGAGTGATGAGTTTGCATCTTTCAAGGTTTTATGTTGTATTCCAATGAAAAGTGAAAAAGACTCAAACCCATCACCACAAGTGATGGGTACAAGATGCATGTTATACTCAAATGAAGAGTGAAAAAGGTTCAAATCCATCGTTATAAGTGATAGGTTTGAATCTTTTGAGGTTTTATGATGCATGTTGTACTCAAATAAAAAGTGAAAAAAACTCAAACTCATCGTCGCAAGTTTCAACGTGTATGGGGGCCTGATGAATGCATTTAGAAGCACATATCTGAATGGATACGGAATACTATGTATAAACAGATTCATCTTATTACCCACAAGAATCTTTTAACTGAAACGATACGTGTTTGAACGGATTGCGCAAATTTACCCTTATATCAGTATAGTTGACAGTGAATAAATAGCGAAGTCATGTAAATTGTTTTGAATGGTAGTCCTCCGTTTAGGACGAGTGTCGTACTGGCCGTATCAAATTTACATATCTAAAATTGAGAATTGCAATAATGGTGTTATATGAAATGTTAAATTGAATAGAACGGAAAAAGTCTTGAGTTCTGTTTTATACTACTTCCATTGTTCTTTTTTAGCAATGATATATGGAGAGACTTAAAGTGCACGACAAATGTGTTTGAAATTGTAAATTGTCGTATTCTCCCATTGTAATCGTGGGTTTCGTTATGTTCTTAATTGATCTGTTGCTTCTACTATTTTATAGAATTAGTTGACAATTAAACTTTCCTGTTTGCGTCTCGTTGACAGTGGCGAAGTGGGATGTACATATGAACAAACTAAATAAAATTGAATTTTAAACAAGCTCGATAACTTATTCATCGTAAATGTCGAAATACTTGAAGAATATTTACCCGATTTTTCAAACAAGACGCAGATTAGACGCCGTTCTTGTGCGAGTAAAATTTAAAATGGGAATTACCATTTAGTACTCGGCTGTGCCTGGTTCAAATTACACGAACAGTTGCTCACATCCGCCGTGAAAATAGCTCGATTACCGTATACACTAGATGACCATAAAATCGAAATGGGAGACGGATGAGCATTATTTGATCGTTTAGGCTAAACAGACCCTGCGAAGACAAAGGTCAGTCGAGCTATAAAACAAGCGTATAGTCGCGTTGCCAGTTGTATGTAGTATGATTATAATGGTGCGTTTATTGAGCCAAACGGAGAAATGATTATTCGCATCGATTTAGATAAAATTCTAGTTTATTCGTTCATCGTTGGCAAATTAAAGATTAACCATTTGAGTGCCACAGTTACTATCGAAAATTCGGCCGAGGAATGCTGGGAGGAGAGTGCCTTTTTTGTTTTAGCTTGGAAACTAAATTGAAGGGAAGTTTTCTTACAGAAAACACTGTAAGTGCTAAAACTAAAAAAAATTCTTTTTCTATTCTTATCCTGTAGTATACGATTTGAGTGCAATTTCTCTTTTCTAAATAGTTATTAACAATACTTATAATATTGAAAGATGATATTATTGTGATATAACAATATATGTATTTGTAATATTAATTAACTTTCTTCTTTCTTTTGAAAAATTTGATGTTGGCACTTTCTACAAATATTCTTTAAATACGATTCTCTAATTCTATGTGGAAAAATGATAAATAGAACAATCTTTTCATTTTTTAAATTTCCAAACAGCTGATGAACAGAATAAAAACAAACAACTGAAAGAAAATTAATAAATTCAATTTGACTTAACGAACCAATTTGCTGGTACTTTTATGCAATGAACCGGAGAAGCGCAATCAGCCTGGCACTCAAACAGATTAAGAACTAAATTAAATGAAATTTCAAGATACTTCTTTTTATTGTCTTTCTAATCTCTTTTAATTACAAATAACAATTTCAAACATTTATTTGTGCAAAATTAAAAAGAAAACTCTGACAATTAGAAGATTAAAGACTTTTGTGTCTGATCTGTATCCTTTTGAAAAAATTATTTTAACGTTTCGCTAGGATGGTAACCATTTTCATCGATAAATCGAGTGACATACTATAGCAAACATTTGTCCATTTTGAAATGCAGCTTCGTGAAGCATTCGAAATCTGTCTCTGCTTTTCGTCTTGTTAATCTGCGACTACACTAAATCTCTACTGTCAACTATGTACATATACGATCTATAGAAACAGAAATAGAAGGCGAGAGAACTGAATTGTAGCTAGCATTGGTACATTCGTCTATATGTTCACGCGATATCAAATAGATTGGATATTCAAGTAATTTTATTCTTGTATTTTTTCATTGAAATGAATTTAAAATTTTAAAGTAGCAGAAGAATATAAGAATATGAAAATTTTAAAATTATGTAACCGTAACTAACTGTAAGTCGTGACTTCAGAAAAAGGAGGAATACGTTTAACTAATTGTAAGATTAGTGATTGCGAAAACATTATTGGAAAGTTCGGTCAGAATCGTCTGCTGGTTATAATTGAAACAAATGAAATAAGGAAATGTATTTTCGTTGAAAAACACGGTATTTTTGTGCAGACTTGATCTGTGATTTCCAGTACAACGATTTAGAAAACAATGATTACAAAATGGGTCAAACTATAGCATCATGCTAGGAAACAGTATTATCACATGCAGAAAGTGTTTGATCAAAATTGTGAAGGTGATCGTTATTATTTGTATTCGTATTAAACAGGGAAAATAATGTTTTAAAAAATCCATTAGAAAAATTAATAATATTTAAGAAGAATCTTATGAAAAATGATTAATAATTATGAAAATTATTTTATTATTATTTTATTAATAATTGTGGAAAATTACTAAATGACATGATAAAAAGTATTCTCAAATCGTTGTTCAACTTTTGTATTCTGTAGGTACTATGTAAATTTAAGGAAAACATGAGAAATATCAGAACGAAAAAAAGAAATCGCATTAAATTTGCGTGATTCCCTAATGAGGAATATGGTAGCTTAATGGCAAGAATATAAATCTGCGATCACGCTACCAGTTCCTGACATTGAAATTATAGGGTAGAAAGTACTATGTGTTTGTTCTACCAAGGACGCGGATCTTTATGCAAATTTCTATTCTTGTAGATCATTTCGTAGAAATCAAAACAACGGAAAAATTGATACCGCAGATTGAAAGATTTATTACAAAAAATAACGTAAAAGGGTTAATAATCTTTGTCGATATAAACGTTTTCATACATTTTACAAATTTACACACGTTATAAATGAATAAAGATCCACAGTAATAATAAAAATACGAAACGCATTGTAATATACGTATACAGTAACATAATTAATTTACTATATATGTTATGGCGAAAGTTTGAAATTACCAAATACCCAAAATCGAAACGTTGACAATGTCCGAAAAATAAATACTATTTTATTACAATCAAATATTTACAATACAACATTCAGTTGTAATTTAATTCAAACCACGACCGCCTTCATATATGATTAATGATAAACCATATACGTGACGAATAATATATTTCGTTAAATATAATTATATGATATTTAATAACATTAAATGTATCTCATAACAACCAGTTTTATTTAATTCCTGATTAATACAAACCCTATAAAATCTGAAATTCACCAATGCCTAATGATGAATACAAAAATTCAAATGTTATAATATATAGTATAATAACAGAATATACAATATATGAAAATTCGATCTTTGTAAGTTTTGAATTTTGACACATTACCGACTGGGATCCGAAAAATCGGATTTTCAATGCCAACACGTATCGACCGGAATGTTTCGAAATTAGTGCTTATAGCGTGAACTAACATCGTACAAATTATGTTCTTGTTCACATATTGGCAATCGCATTAGTAATCATGGCAAATATTTTGAAATTATTCCCTTCTACAATGAATCAAAGTAACACGTTACCGGTATTAGCAACGTGTTTTCATCCCAGCAAGGTAAGTAAAGTGTTAATAAAAATATTATTAATTCTTCGGACATTCACCTTGGTTCCCAGTAAGTCCTTATAACAAGTATGTATCTTCTTGCATGTATCACGATTCACCAGTGACCGCCGATATCCGTTTCGCTTCGGTCATTCACCGTAACATACGTAAACAACAAAACCCCCTACGAATGTACGGCATCAATCACAGGCGGCGAACTATTTCTGATCTGCCAAAATACTTGATATCGAGCGCGAGTCCCATCTAACACGCACCGTTACGTTGCTCGAGGACGGGAAGTGTGCCGAGCGCGAGGACGGTTATGTTTTTCCCGCGTGGCACGAATCTATGGCGTCGAACGTATTGTATATAAGTAGAAACTGAGTCAGGCATGCTTTCTGGTGTTTCCGGCGAACATAGCGGGTGAACGGATCGTGTTTATCGGGAGAAAGGCGAGTTTGGGAACAACCGTCGAAGGAATCGAGGGTATTAGACCAGTCACGGGAACACGCGGCCTTAGGAGATGAACGGAAGAAAACGATAAAAATGAACCGAAACGCTGATACACCTGAACGCTGAAACGCGGGGAATCAATTGAAACGTCGTTCGACCGATGCACGCGAAATGTCGGACATTTTGCGCACGCTTCGTCATGCTTCTTCGTCGATCTGATCGAATCCCCGGTTCTCCGGGAATTATAGGTACGTGAAACTTTTTTCCTTCCTTTCGAACGGCTGGCGGGCCCGAACGGAACTGATTTAATTAAGAGCTTCGGTTAATCGGTACCGCTAATTGCTTCTCATTTTCTACGCCATTTTCCCTGCTAGCCAGGCTGCCGGGATGTTTCCAGCGACTCAACACTAGAACTACTGCACTCAGTTTTCAGTTTTCTTGTTTCGTAATTATTGGTATCTTGAAAGGGTTAACACTAGGCTTACGGATATTTGGTGTACAGTTTATTCTATAGTTCCTGGAACAATTCATGTTTGTTTAGATCTCGGAAATTAGTTTAAAAATAGATGATCGAGATATGTATTCGTGTAATTGCATCAAGAAAAATCGACGTAAACGTTTGACAAATAATGTTTATAAAATTCAGTGTGCGTCGAATTGATGGGTTTTGTAAACCTAGTGTTGAACATTCGAAATGATTTGGAAAAGATATACTTTCATTTTAGTACTACAATGAATACACCAGGAAAGCGAAAAAAATCTATTGCCACAATTTTTATAAGGACATTTTTACAATTATATTAAACGTTCGGTAGTTCTAGTGTTAAGGAGATTACGGTTATTTTACGGTGCATGGACTTCCTTGTCCCGCGTCTATTATATTTATGATATGAATTATACATGGTATACGCTTGGTTACCGTAGTTTTTCCTCGTCGGAGGACACGCGAACTCCTTTTCTTATATTTTCTTCGTGATAAGTTTGCAATCTTCTACGAAAATATCCGAGTCCCGTTATCTTGAACTTTCTCGCGTCTCTTATCTTTAGACACGAGAAAACCGAAATGTAGAGCTTTTTAGTACCAGGCAGCTTGGAGCACGGGAAATTTTATCTTTTTATGATGTGAAATGTACTGTTAAAGCTGATAAAGTCCATTTGCTTTAACGAATACAATGTATATCAAAAATTCTTGTGTTACCCAAATTGAGTAATATGTACATCGTTTATTTTATTGTTTTCACCTATTCAAAGAACAACTGGACTAAATTGTTAGAACAGCTATCGAAAATCCACTCGTCAAACAAAACTCCAATTCCATTTTACTTAAAGATACGTATAAACAAAATTCGACAAATAAAAACGTCACAGTTCGTTCGAGAACTGCGCCGTTCTAGAAATTAAAGCTGAATCAATCAGCCTTTCATTTTCTTCAAAAACTTATGAACACTTCCACTATTTCCAGAGAAAATTCAGTTGTCAATCAACAATTACAAAAAAACACACAACCTCTGTCGACTTTCAAAGACTAAAGATAAAAGCTGCTTAAGTTTCAAACAGAAATAACTCCGTTAGATTTTCGGACGTCTCCTTTTCTGCTGGGTGGAGAAACTTTTGAGGGTACTCCATTTACGCGAGCGGGTCTCATGACAGAAATTTGTTCATGCTGCGAGTACCCGTCCGTTTGAAAAGGAAGGAAAGAACGGAAGAAAGAAAAAACAGTTCTAATAATTCCCGTGACGTCGTCACCGTAAAAAGCGACGCGACTCGTCGCGGTAAAAATCCGACATTTCATCCGCAGCGATCTAATATTCCCTTATAGACCGTGCAATCTTGATACCCGTCTTCAGCTTGCTCCTCCGGCAATTTTTCCCCTCCGGTCCCCGATTCTCTCACCGTATCCCATTTCGACTTGGTCGTACCGACGCGACGCCCCGGTCGAATGCACCTCGGCAGTGGAGAGTAGTCTTGGTTCCAGCTTAACCCAAACCTCCGGCTGTCTTGGTCCCGTTAGTCCGCAGGTTAGAGTTCCTCCGGTCCTCCTCTGGAACCCACGGTACAAGAAGAAAAGGAAAAACAAAGACACTAGAGACACTTCTCTTCTGGTGACAATTGCTACTAAATTGGCACGTGTTTCAGAGAGGTTAACCCCCTCCAGTCACCGGCTCCTTTTCTATGCGTTGAATGTTGAATGACGTGAAGGGCGGCGACTGTTGAGAAACAGTCCATGACTTTCGATTTATGGGAGGCTTGATTAACCGCTTAACACGTTCGATACCAACGCTTACTGTTTCGGCGACGGTCTCTTCAATTATAATATTCTCTTCAATACAATAAATCTTCTAAATAAAATATTACAGACATGAAACTGAAACGAGACATTGAGTTCCTAAATATAATGACGTAGTTTATAATTTCTAATGACAATATCCATAAGATTAATTTAATTTTCATCATGTAATATATGGACTACGGCCGTCACTAATATGTGACGCTGGTAACGAACGTGTTAATGTACTGCTCCGTGACATTCACGGGCACGACGGATTGATAAAGGACAATAAGCTCGTTAATTTATCTAAATTCGGCACCGCGTTTTATTTTTTCTGTGTAGGAAGGAAGCTTCCATCATGAGGAATTGACACTATATTTACGGAATAAGTCAATTTAACTCGTATTGAATTTGATAAGCATTATTTGATAAATGATTGGGTAATTGTCTATTTAGAATTTCCAAAATCTACATGATCGAATATCAATTTGTCTAAGAATGATAGAAAAAACTGTACAATAAATGTCCGTAAATCTAGTGTTAAATGGCAACAAGTTGATATTGATAATCAAATGGAAACATGAGTAATGGTTGACTTGAGGTTTGTATAGAACGTTGCGCAACAAGAAAATTTGTCCATTAAGGGGTTAAACGGATAACGTCTGCGATCTGGGTGGATGTATAGATGTTTTGAAGAATTCGGGTCTGGCTTTGTTGATCGTAAAGAGTGAGACTGTTGTAGAAAGGTGTTTTGTCAGAAATGAATCGTTTGTGTTCGAGAGGTGATCGACTGTTGGTATTAAGAGTTTCGTTACTTGATTGGTGTATTATTTCTATTTAATATGATAAAAAGTGTAATTAATGTTTCTTTGGGACATGATGAGAATACGTAGCGAAAAAACTTTCGATTTTTATGGTTTGGAACAAGAACTACCTTTTACTGGTTTTTATGAAATTATGAACATTTAAACATGTTCATGTGTTATTAAACGTGTTCCAACGATGATCCATGTCAAAGAGAGCAACGATGTAAATGTTGTCTTTGTTTAAAAAATAAAACACTTCCTTAAGACAATAAATGCTATCAGTGATCCTTAAATACAACGTTCGGTCTTAACTATCTTAAGTGAACAATGTTGAACTCAGAGGGACATTAAGTGAACATTGAAGATTACTGCCTTAAGAAACTATTTCACTTTTTCAACTGAAAACAATTTGCTGTGTACTAACTTTTACCTCAGACCGTTGGTTTCCAAAATAAATTAAATAGAATAACAACAATTTCATATGATACAACTTAACATACCACCTGTAACAAGATTAATTAAATGTCGCCGAAATTTGAGCCTCACAAAGTAACTCTCTTAGTACCTTGTGACATTTTTGATGTACCATTTCAAAATTCCCGGGAAAGTAAGCATGTTTGAAGATATTCATTAAAATTAACAGGTGTCTTTCAAAAGTTGGCTGACTACTAATAAACTAAAACTGCCTACGGACAAGAGGAATTGAACGCAAACAAAATACAATGTTCCAAAGTGAGATGCAACGATAAATTTGATTGATGAAGAGATGTAACAATGTTATAAGATTTCGTATTCGCGGTTTTCTTTTATTTACGGAGTTTGTCATGTTTAAATTTCAATTATAATTATTAGTCTGTAAATATTTAAGCATCTCGAAGGTCACATACGACTTACGGACTGATTGCACTGGATTAGCTCCTTTGGACTTGACTTTTTTACAAAATTATTTTCACTTGCATAACAACAAAAGTCGTTCAACGCACTACCAGTAATAACACGTATTTCAAATAAAATGATGGTGATAGACTACTTCTGATAGAAATGGCGACTAAGCAATGATATATTTGTATCAGAAGTAGTCTATTACCGTCAATTTATTTGAAATACTTGTTATTACTGATAGTGCGCTGAATTATATGTTGTATAAACTAATACAGTTCAGATATTTAAGTAAAACAGTGTATATGATAATATTCATCACTTCTAAATACTAACGTGTTTACTTTGAAGTTTAGTTTAAAAAATCTCTCGTTTTGCGCGTAAAACGAAGTGTATATTCGTCAAACGCACAACAAATGCAACTAGGGTATATTTTAAAGAAAAAACAAAGCAGAACTATATGTTTATTTAAACTTTAAGATGATATATATATAGACGTTAAATTGACGATCTAATATTTCCCTTGTCTCCGAGCAATTTCAACTTACAGGTAGTCGAAAACCTTCTACAAGAAATATATCACACTCGCAAAGTCCTAGAATCTGATATTTCGATACACAGGTACTAAGAGGTTAAAAAGTCAATCATTGAGAACTTACCAGCTTTCGTGGCGAACGAAACATCTTTGGGATGATTGGTCTTGATGGCGTTCATCCGTCGATTCTGTGGCCTCTGGCCTCCGGGGCAGCCAACTCCTTGCGTCGCGCCGAGGCCGGACGATAAACCGACCCCGCCATGTTCACCCGGGCCACCCGGCGGCATTTGGGATAGCGGGCATCCGGATGAACCCGCGGTTCCTGGTCCACCGGCCATGCTCGGCGCGCCGGTTGGCCTCACTCTCGTCGGCTCGACCGGTAGTACGCGGCGTCTTTTCTTCGGTAGCTTGGCTCGCGCCTGCGTGTGACTGTAATACATCGCAAAGTTGCTGACGATCACGGGCACCGGCAGGGCGATCGTGAGTACACCGGCCAGGGCGCATAGCGCGCCGATGAACATCCCGATGTAGGTTTTCGGCACCATGTCCCCGTAACCGACGGTGGTCATCGTGACCAAGGCCCACCACAGTCCTAGCGGTATGCTCTTGAAGTCGTTCTTCGGGTTGTACTGCGTGCGTTCAGCGTAGTAGACCAGGCTGGCGAAGATCACGATTCCAAGGACCAGAAAGAAGACCAAGAGAGTTAGCTCCTTCGCCGAGGCGCGGAACGTTTGTATCAGGATCTTTAGGCCAGACGAGTGGCGGGTCAGCTTGAACAGTCTCATGATACGTATGATGCTCAAGAACTCGAGGATGTCCGCGTTCTCCAGGTGGGAGGCGAACCGTTGGAGCGCCAGATCGAGATAGAAGCTCAGCGTTGCCACCATGTCGATCAGGTTCACCCAGCTCTTGATGAAGACGCACCGGTTTGGGCTCGCAGTAATGCGTATTAGGAACTCGATAGTAAACCAGGCGTTGCACATGCACTCGATGTAGAAAAAGAAGTCGTGAGCGTTCGTGTGCGTTTTGTCCACTGCCCAGGAAGTCGTGTTGCCTGTGTTCACCGTCCGGTTCACGATTACTGGCACTCGCATGTCCGGATGCGTCTTCAGGCAGAAAGAGACGATCGAGATGCAGATGAAGAGGACTGAGATTATGCTGATTACCTGCGGAGCACCGTGGGAATTCGATTACGAGCATGGAATGGCTGAGTAACGCGTTGTTACTCTTCCCGTGATTGCTGTTTGTCATTTAGCGGTGATTCGGAATAGGCACGCGTGCAATTTATGCGACTGTTCCGTGCGTTTCATGGTAGCGGGGAGATTGTTTCGAGTGAATTGCAGTTTTCGATTGAATTGCTGGTTTTAATGTGTACTTGCCAGTTTGCATTTTAATTGTCACGGTTGAGTGTAGTACATTCTGAATAGTAATTTGGATGGGAATGTTTGTGTGAAAAGGATTTTCTTAAAAGTAATTTAGGTACTTTAAAGTTAACGTTTAGTTTGTGCCTTGTATTTTTGTGAGAATAAGTGTTGGTCAAGTATGAGTGACGACAGGTAGAAATAATTTGTTGCTTTCTAAGCAATATTATTGTTGATTCCGATACTGTATTAGTATTTTGTATTAATATATGTAACGTTTCAAAATTTTCTACAGAAAAATTATCGACTGTTCTTGTTAAATATTAATCTATTGTTCTTAAGTTTTGTAAATATACAAGATTTAATTACAGTGTTTTGTATTAATGATAGACAGAAGAACACAATTTGTATTGTTCTTAGTATACACTCTATGACTTTAAATCCATTGAGTAAAAATCAACGTTAAATAATTACACTTCGATATTATCAAAGTAATAACATTCGAACGAGAAACTTTTAATTACAAAAAATTTATTCTAAAAATGAGTGAATATTTTCAAATTTTTGTTAACATTTATTCTAATATTCCAAGAAATAATACATTTAATATCAAATATTAAAGAAAGTATCCCATCCAGTCTGTTCTAAAATTCAAATAAGCACAAGAAATTGAAAAGATATAGGATAGCATTTACATTGGACGAAGTTACCTCTCAAGTGTGTCACATCATTCGAAGGCCTCCAACTTCGCAGATTTGATAAATCTTTTGATTGAATTTCACGCAAAAATTAAAATTTAATTCCCTTCGACTCGTTAAGGAAGATTTCTTTAAAGATTATTTTAATCGAAAAGCGAGATGGCGCTTCATTGTGTGCAGCAGGTTGCCAGCGAAGTTATAGAAGATCGGAGCGAGTTACAAGATCTCTGCGAAAGTCATGCTGTACTATAAAACTGAAATTGTCAGGAGCATTGTCGACGCAAGAGTAACGTCGACACTTTACTAGACTCGAAAGGAAATTCTATTACGGTGGGGTTTACTGCGGTTCGTTCTTTGCAATAACATTAAAAGTTACGTGTAGCGACGTGATCTCCACCGTTCTTATCTCTGAGAATTGATTTTCTTCGAAAACCGGGTTTGGACACTCATATAGTGTCCGCTCAGCTGAACTTACACGTCAGGCAGAAATTAAATTTTAAGTGGTACTATACTAATGACTTGGAATAATGGTCTATTAGGTTGCTGCGTAAATTCTGTCCATTTCAATGTATCACCTATAAATTCGATTTTTGAAAACATTTTATATTCATTTCGAGAAAATATTCCCATCTCTGCGACAATAGGATTCCTTTTTCTTTTATAAAAATCTTCAGATTTATTGTTAAAAAATAATTTTATTGTGCTTTTTACTTCGTTGAAATTAAAAAAATTTTTTCCATTTACATTGTTTTAAAATTTAAACGATTTTCTTTCATTTACATTCTTTTGAAATTTAAACAGTTTTCTCCTTTCACATTGTGTGGAATAAGTTCCGATTTTAATTTCGATATTCTCTTTGCCATTGACATGTGTGGTTTTGTCTTATTCTGGAGATGGCATAAAACAGTCGAATTGAAAATTTCAAGTTTGAAAATTAACTAGAATATACTATGTTAGTTTATAGCTGTTTATATTAACTCCTTGCCCTATAATGTCTTTCAGAATTGTGCTTTAACTTTAATAATTTATTTGAAATGGAAAGTATTTGGTACTTATCTATTCGTCACATTTACTTCAGACGTTAACGATTGATAGTAGAACAGAAATATTTAATTTACAATTATAGTAATTATAGTAATTCAATATTTTTAAATCACCGGTGATCTCCATAGCATTCAACGTATTAAATAAATTGAAATGGCATCAAAATATGTTGTCGTCTCAATCCAGTGAGAATCATGAGATCTTTCTGTGCTAACTAATGCTTAATGAAGATTCCCCTGTTCTATCACGGTGTACAGTTCGTTGGATATCAGAGTGGTACACTTGGAGCTACTATCGAGAGTAACTTTTTCATTGAGTATAAACTTGTTTGCAAGGAAGTTGTGTCGTTTCAACAAGCATGCACACGTACGACAGTTCGAACAGTTTGATCCACTTCTTTGTCGCAATCAGCGGACTGATAACAAATGAAAAGTTGCTTCTGCAATGGAAGCTTTAAAACAGACTTACTCTGCCGAGTGTATAATCCAGGATTAGAATTTCTCAAACAAAAGAAGTTGCACAGGTTCTTGAATAAAATGTGACAATAGATTTTTCATTTTTAGTTATTCGTTCAGTTGTACGAATTGTGATAATTGGTTTTTTACATTCGTACAGTTTTGACAATTATTTTGTCCTCATCTTGTATATACTAGAAGTCTGGATCAGTAAAGATTAGGCGCAGTGAAGCGTTATTTAAACAATTCTCTTGGTTTTAGATATGTATGATATATTCTTATAATTAATCAATATATACGTATCCTAAAGTTTTCAATAAATAAATTTTTGTACCCGTTTATAAGTTACTTAATAACAAGAATATTAATTTGTTCTATTTTCTGTTCATCAATGATATCTGTGACAGTCAATGTGTTAACACATTATTTATCGACTGTCAATTAAGAGGATATATAAGATCAGTCAATTTATGCTTGCACTCTTTCGTATACTAGAGTTTTTGACTGTCTTAGAAATAAGTAAATCAAATAAAAACTTAGGGCAACATTTATTTTTTTGGATTTTTAGTACTTATCAATAATACTCGCTACTGTTAATAGGAAGTTATTAACTCAATGTTAATACGAACCTTTGCTGCGGAAGAGGAGTAGGGTTCATCGAACAGCGACCACATTTGAGGTTTGAGCTTCTGCCACCAGGTGAGCGTGCCCTCGTAATATGCCTCCTCGAAGCCGAACTTCCTCGCCAGCTCCTCATCGGTCGGCTTCTCGGTATCAAGGTCCAACCTGTCGAGGACTGTCAGCGTTTCCTGCGTGTCCCGATGCTAGAAGAGCGGGTCGGGGTGAAAGAGAGGGGGATGCAACAACGATCGTTATTCGTACCTGCGAAATATCTCTCGCTCTCTTCAAGGTGCGTTTATTGTTTTGTTTTTTCGTTTCTTTCATTTCATTCTTTCTTTAGTTTGTGCTTTAGTTGGGACAAATAAAGCGCGTGCAAAGCGTAAATACGTGAATCTCCACACATGGAACAAAGAAAAACAAATACATTAGGTCCTCCCATAAGTTCGTCTTATTTTTCTACTATACAAAATAATATTCCATTAAATGTACACTATTCATAACTTTATCAACATAACCTGTCGCTGTCTACTGATTAAACTGAAGCACATCAAACTCGTATGACTCTGTGATTGCGACGCGTAACGCGAAATGTAGTAACACTAAAACTACAAACAATCAAATTGACTTTTTCAAATTTTCCTATAGAACCTCTAAAAATCTATTGGAGATTTTGTACTTATTTACAATTGTGTTGCATATTGCTGAATCAATTTCTTTGACAGTTTTCCAAAGAATCGTGTTAGCTTTTTAATGTTTGTAAAAAGAAGAAGTCAGGAATAGGCTATTTTGACTTGCTTGGTAGTTTTAGTGTTAACACATCGCGGTGAGAACTTATGGGATGATCTAATAGATCATTCCGTCTTGGCTACGAACTAAATCTAAACCGCCGGTTTCGAAAGTCACGGGATTATTGGATATCGGAGCCTTTGGTCGGTTCTCCTTCAGTTTTATGCGTTTTATGGCGGACGAGGGTTGCTGGGAACCGCCGTGGCTCCGATGTACCCCACGTGGCGCATTTGTTACGGTTGGCACGTGGAGCTGGTTGATTTCTTCGGCAAATGGTACTGCGGTGACTTCTTCCGAGTAACGAGCGCACTTTCGTACAGCTTCGGATACATCAGAACGGTTTGGTTTATTTTATTCTGGGGAACTCTCGGCCAATTTTACGCGATCCCATGAATCATTGCATTACCGTGCAAGGTGTTTCGTTACTGGTCCTGGCTTGGGATAACCGCTTAACGCTTTGATTTACGGTGTTTATCGAACTGTGATTTATTTTGCAGTCAATTAAACTGTATATTTGTATGGATTTATGAGAAATTTGAGGGTGCAAATTTGTACACAATGCATATAAGGTAAAAGCATTAGTAGTTGACTAGTTAAGAAAAATGTTCTGCGTGAACAATGGTAAGCGATTGTTTCTTTATTAAATAGAGAGTCTCTATGCATGAAAATACGGTTTGGACTTCTTACATTATGTAACAGAGCAAAGTTTGATGAAATAGTTGTTTTATCCAGATTTGATAGACATTTTTGGAAATGTAATACTTGCGTGAAAAGTTGACCATCCTTGAAAGGAGAAAACTAGTACATGAGTGGTCGACTACTAATTAATATTGAGCATATATTAGTAGTCGATCACTAATAGTAAAACCAAAGACACTAAAGGTGATTATTTTAATATTGTTTGTTTGCAATGATTATGAGAAATTACAAATAAAAGGTTAAATACAAGTGAGGAGAAGTTAATATTGGAATTGCAATACAGAGGCATACAATCAACGTCAATGAAATAAATCGTTAGTTTTTACGATAAACAATTTTATTCAGGTAAAAGTGTTTCGGAGTTTGGTTGGTAGGTGCTGCAGCATATCTATCGCGGCTTTATCGAATGATTAACCACCCTAAGTGGTTAATCTCAGATAGTTACAAGTTTAACAATACAAAAACACAATAAGTAAGTTTATGTATATTCAATGAAATGTTTCTTTCGATATAAAATTATATTTAAAACTTTAATTTTGAAAACAATTTTAAAAATAATCGAGTATGTAAATTCATCCTTTATCATTCAAATAATCCTTGGTTTGACATTTATTGCATTTTATTTTGTCATTAAATATATGCTATTTTTCGGCTATATTTCATTGTGCACAAGATTTGTTATCTGTAACTGCCGATATTTTCGATCACTTGCTGCACTTTCATTAATAAAAACTGTCCGATTGTAAATATTTTTTTATGCTTCGTAATTCAATAAACAATTCCAAAAGGTTTTTGAGCGGCGAATATGAATTTGCAAATCGTTTGTGCTCTGTAATTAATTTAATCGACGTTTACAATTGTGATAAACATAAATCTATCATAAAATTCTAATACAAAGAATGAACATAAAACAATCCTCTAGACTCTTTGATTGAAGGTAACTTTTTCAATGTAATTAAATAGATTATATATTTCCAAAAGATAGAATTCTCGATAATGTATTAACATCAAAATCATTTCACTAACTATTTTCGCCGGTAAAGAATCACCTTGCCTTCCTCAATTCAGAAAACGCAATTAATTTCGTGGAAATTTAATTAAGTTCTCCCCTGAAATTACTCCCTTTGGAGGAATTTCTTCGAAATACCTATTAAACGAATATGTTTTTGCCTCATCCTCTTCAAATATTGTTTTAAGGCAATTACATTTGATATTAAGATTAATGAAATTTCGAATATTATGGGAACGAGTCCAATAAGTAAATTCGTCTTTGTTTTTTTGGCAAAGAAGTCTCCGCAGATCATCAATACTTTTTCCTCGATAAAAATTGCACCTAATTAAATTACTTCGAAACCAGCATCAACATTGCAGGCAATACTTACGTTTCGCTCTTACATTTGAATTTTTTGCTTTTCATTTATTTCGAAAATTAATTTAATTCAAATATATAACGTGATTTTCTAATAATATACAGGAAATATTCAAACATAGACTCTTGTCATTTCAATCAATTAAGTACTATTAGATAATAACATCCGTTCAGGTGAATGTGTAATGAACTTAAAAATATTCAAGTAGGAATACTTTCTAATTTTAAGAATTTAATTCTGATTCATTGCAAACGTACATAACTTTGGCCAACATGAAGTACTTAACCCTTTGTCCTACAATATCGTGTCAGGCTCGTGTCGAAGGTTTCAAATAAAATTTAACAAATACAAGTGTCACTTAATCCTGTCTAATCTAAATCAAATATTACTTTTCTATTAATAATTGTGTTACTTCTAGAGTTTCATTTGGATTTTTTTCTTTTTCTAATGAATTATGAATAATAAAGTAGCTCTGTCGTTGTGATAGAAATCATAGTGCAAAGGGCTAATTTAAAGCCACCATTATTTCACTCTTTTATGAAACTAATAAAATCAAAAGACCGATCATATTTCTGTTACAACCTAATATTTCAATCTTTGGTATACACATATACGTATGGTCACAAAAAATTCAAATATAAAGGCAAAGGATTTTTGTGTATTAACTAATTTGCGTTTGATATGACTACAACGGAGCGTGGGATCTCATCGATGTTACGAATTCAATCAGTTACATTCGTAAACATGGAAATAAGCTGTTCACTGTGTATATACCACGATGATCAAAGCTTTTCGAATCCTCGTGTGGTTATGGGCAAAAGGATACACGAGAACGTAAAGTACACTCTCATTAAATGAAAGCAATTATCCACGGCTATGTACATTCACGTATTATGCGACGAACATGTTAGCATGTTCGATGGTCTTCCACGAAAATGGCGATCATTTTTCACCTGGCGTGCGATACGTTCGCTCGGCGATCCTGTTATTGGCAATAAATAAATTACTGTCGAAATTAATTCCAATTCCAAACACAGGGGCTTCGGACAGGGTATCGGAGTGCACGTGGCGCATTTGAGCGCATCATTGAATCAACTGTTCCAATAGATATTCTCACCTTCGTCTCACGATGAAACCTAATTACTAGAAAATTTGTTTCCGCTCTTTAGTCATGTCAATTTTCATGGATTTTAACGAACATTCGTAATTCTTTTATCATTATCATCGTCTTTTGTTTTTTTTCAATGAGCAACGATTTTAGTTATTTCTGTGAAATCAATTCTGTTGTAGTTCCCTTGCTAACTCTTTTTATTTTCTGCTTTGATTTTTCATTGTTTCGAGTTATGTAAATATCTCAAAGGATTTTAAGATATTTATTATAGGACTTAATTTAATGTACAAATAATATGGATGAAGGCCAATTCTTCGTATCATTTTGTAATCAACATTTAAAATCGTTGTGAATTTATAAAGAAATAAGATGGGTGGTCCATATTGACGACGGAAAGTTAATAATCGCAGTCCTGGTGCGACTGTTGACACGAAAGTAAATTGGAAATGTAGAATAAAATGTTTTTATTCAACTTTTGTTTCCGAGATAATCGAATTTAGATATTCGTTGGTTTTCATCAGATTTTGCTGGGAAGTACTTTTTATAAAAACTATTAAGATCATTTTTATCGAATATTATTCATGTTGATGGAATAAAAACAATTCTTAAAATTCGATAGGACTTTGTGCTTTTGCAATAAACCCTTCTTTTTTAAAGAGTTTATCTATTATTAATAGATTTAAAACTTTAGTTTTACTTCTGTGATGAATAATACATTCGATTTCAATATTTTTTTTGCAACGTATTACTTGTCCCTCATTTTTCATTTTTTGTACATAAATAATAATATATCGTATAAATTAACACACCAACGCGATTAAAGTCGAATGAGCATTTGAACGTAATGAATTTAAACATGTTATAATTTATATTGATACGCATGCTTCGTTACAATTACACGCAAAAGCCTTTATTAATTAAATAAATGTGAAATCAATGAAGGGTGAAGTTGAAAGTTAATATTCCCGTCGTTTCTGGTTAACAGGCTAAATCCCGCATTATATAGAACACAAAGCAGATTCAATTTAGGCAGGATATTGAATTTCCCTTGCGACTAATTCGATGAGTTTTAAAATTGTAAAATTACAAGCGAAGTATCGTAAAACCATTAAAACATAGTTACGCCAGCGCGTTAACCTAACGAGAATATTTCATAATTTCAGTGTCCGTTATTGAAATATCATATAAGAACTTTTAAACAAAGTAGGTGTTTTTCATCTGACAATTATAAACGGTT